TTCCGAGGAAGGAGATCGGAGTGAAAAACGGGTTGTGCCGGGGAAAAAACCGATCCCCGAGCAGCCCGGAAGGACGGCTACGCGGATCATAGCTCGGTGGCGCTGGACACGAATTCTATGTCAATATAAAAGAATCATAGAACTTACATGTATGGGCGTCTTCTATGGTTACATGTTGAATGCCGAAGCTGAAGAAAAAAGGGGAGATGAACTCAGGTCCGTCCTCCCCTTTTATACGGACAGAGGTGAGGCCCACGGTAAGTGGCTCTTCAGAATGCGCGAGCGCGCGTGGGGGTACCCATCTGCGATAGCCTTAGAGGGCAGAGCTTACACGAAATAGAACTTCTATTTTACTCACGAACATTTTTCGTGTGAGTCACTTCCGGGTCACGGCTGTGTTTGGTGCTACAGCTTCCCAAAGGCAACTCGTGAAGATTTTTGGACATGCGCAGTAAGTCCTCAATGCAAAATAATAGGGTGGTTTGGGTTCGCAGCTGACTTGCGAACACAGGCTGACCTCAGAAYGCACACCAGCTGTGGGTGGGTCCACCTTTGTCGACGAGTCCACGTCAGCCATGTTCAGTACACCCAGTAAGCTAATGGAGGAGCTAACTCAGCTCTTATAACAACCTTTTTGATGAGAACAACCCAGGAGAAGGTTAAACCAAAAGAACCTGGACATGATCAGATGGACATGAAGAGCAGTAGACCAAAAGACAGAGGGAAGAGTTTACACTCCATCATTTTACAAGACTGAATTATAAACAAGGCTAAGCTAACAGCTAATAGCGAGGCTAACGCTCCTTTTCTGCCTCGTTTTTCAAGCATGATCTGATTCAGCATTGATTAAAGCAGGTAAAAGAAAAGCTAAAAAACTTTTGCAATGCTCGTTAATCATAGTATATTATGTATATATATCAATGTGAACACAACTTAAAATAGTATATTTTTATGTTGTAAATTATGTTTTTGACAGATATTAGAAGATGTTTTTTCTTCTTTCTGCTGCCTTTCATTTTATTTATCTTTTTTCCTTCTGCTGTGTATAGAGTTTACTTTGTTTTTTGATTAAATACATCTTTAAAAACATAATAGAGGTGCAACAATTTGTTGCTATTAAATAACATCAATTGTTTTCTATATTTTAAATATATAATAGAAAGCTCACTTGTAGCCATCTTCATATTGAATTAAATATGTGCATTTATTGTTTTAGGTGAGCCTAAAACATCTGATCAGTGCTACAGTGCTGCAGACAGGTTCCTGCAGGACAGTTCTCTGAAGCAGCACTGAAGACCATGGAGGCTCACCCAATGCTGAATAGGATGAAGAAGTCTGATGTAGTTCAGGAGCTGCAGTGGTGCTGTGTCTCTGTACCAGCTCTTCATGGAGAACAATCTGCAGGACACCTTCAGAGACTGTGACTCTGCTGAAGAAACTCATCACATCTCATCTGACCACAGCTGAATCTGAGAGGAGCTTCAACACTGAAGAGAAGAATTTCCTCAGGTACACAACATCACACACCATGATCCAGAGTCATGAAGATATTTGCTTCTCAGTTACAGAAGAGCAAAATTTATGTACATAAAATAAAATAAAACACTAACACATTGTAATTCTGTTTTATTATTTTCATTTATTTAATAAATACACTGCCGTTAAACAACTTAGTGAATACTTTTTGAGATATGTCAGTTTTGGAGTTGTAGCACCCCCCTGGAGAAAAATCCACCAGCCACCACTGTGTTTTACTTTTAACAATCTGTAATAAACTAATAAATTAAAATAACCTGTAAAAAACTGATAAATTCTGATAATCTGAAATCATCTGTCGTAAACTTGAATAAGATTTAATAATAGTAATAAATTGAAATACATTGTAATAATCTGAAATAATCTGTCGTAAACTTGAATAAGATGTAATAATTGTAATAAACTGTAATACATTGTAACAATCTGTAATAAACTGTAATACTATACTATTATTA